CGCCCGAGCTTCGGCCTGGGGACGAGGATGCGGAGGCACATGCTGACATGCATGCGTGACAAGCTGCACTTTAAACCTGCGAACGGGCATGGGGTACGGGTTGCACTTTACCTTTTTATCAGGCCTGACTCTTTTGAATTGCAACTTGCAACTTAGAGTTTTCACTATCTCCTTTCTGCAGACGAGATACTCTCGTATCAAATGTAAATTAATTTCTCAGTGGTTTCATTTGTCCTATATACTATATAGGGCTACATAGGACCTATAGTGAGACTTGTTCCAAGTGTGCCTTTCATGGGTCTTTTACTCAGGAGTATGCTCGTATATATTAAGAGTCAAAATTCTTTCCGTTTGTTCTTTATAAATTCCAACCTAAATAAACCCCTTCCAGAGGCAGACTTGGAGCAAGTTTATATAGTAGGCTATCTTTAAAATGGGAAATTGGGGAATGGGAATGGAAACGAAGGAATGACCGGGAAATTGACGTTTTATTTCAATCGGTATTTAACCAAACATACAGTAAATTAAATATATATTATGAAATAAAATTCGTATTCCCACGGCAGATGATGTTTCACAACATGTGGAATTTATTGTCTCGACTTTTTATTGGTCGGACGATATTTCTCAAATGTGATATGCAAAATATGGCGAATTGGCTCACTCGTTTTGATTTTAACTAGAGCAAATTAGAACATATATAAAAAATATAGCTGGAACAGATATTGAATCTTTAAAAACAAATATAGTTTAAGGTTTTTTGATTGGGGATTGCACCACGCGAGCTAGGCAGTCCTACTTAATGCATGACCTTATTAGGAGTTATTCCTCGGCTTATCCAGCAAAGTTTATTGCACTTAATAAATTAAACGTGATGCCCCGCTAAATTTCAATTTCAACCGCAGATTAATCTATATTCGCTCTTTCGTACGCTTTGGTTTACAGTACGCCTAAGTTTAACTGTAAAAGCAAAACAATTATGCCTGCGGATTGAAATCATACCATTTCGTATATAGATAGGTATCAGAAACGTTTTTGTCAGCTTTTTTAATTTAAGCCCAAAGTACAAATACTGTATGTATTGTATGAAGCCCAAAATGTTAATTGAAGAATTAAAATCTATAATAATTCCCATTGGTCACTATTTGGGCTTTTTGTGTGCTTGATTTACACAGTGCAACTCAAGTTTTAGGTAAAAGTTGTGTAGTGTAAATCGGCAGTTTAGAGAGCTATGAAGCAAGAGAGAACTTCAAGCGTTGTGTAAGGGATGAAAATCTTTACCAATCAATCAGATCCAGTTTATTCAGAAAGTCTTTCAAGAGAATCACACCAGACCAATCCTCCGGAAATCTCTAGGAATCAGGCTTGGTTACAAGGCAAAGTAAGAAATAATTGTGTCCAAATATTATTGTTTTGCATCTACCTCCTCCGCAATTGTCCTTAGAAGTCCTTACGTCACGTCACTGTCAAACAATGAATATTTCACCCACACTGCATTGCGTATACCTAATCAGTATTATTATTATCATCTTTATTAGGGTCAATTAATCATATTTTACAATAATTACAAAACATACACATATAAAATATTCAATCAAACTATTAATAGAATATAGATCCTAAATGGGCAAGGTACCTTTCCAAACTTTACTAAAACTATTTTAAATAACATTACACACACAACTCTACACACACCTAGTATACCATAGTTTACGTTCTATAACACGAACAGCTGGAACAGGCACGAAACAATAAGGACCACGTATATGACAAGTCAACTTCAAAATTAGAATCAACAGTAGTAGAATATTTACGTTTAACTAAACATTTAAAAGAACTAGGACTAGACACAGTGTCCAAAGTCCAAACTACATATTTAGGCTACATACAATGTTCCACACTTTGACGACACGATTATAGTACCAAGATTGAGAAGTGCTTGTTCTACAAATTTGACTTTGTAGAATATACTTTGAATTGTTACTCAGCCGAGTTTGACCGTGACTGACAAACGAGACAGAGTTACTGACATCAACATTCACACGACAACCAAACAAAGCCTTGTACAAGGTTAACGTCTCCCTGTTGAAGGTTAACGTGTAAATGCATTGAACATTGCGCAACGTATACGTAAGCACTTATAGAATTAGTGGGGATGCAATCTCAAATTTCAATTTACCTGCGATCCCCGAACGGACATACTCTGTCTTATGAGATTAGGGAATTCATTACAGCTGCAGAGGAGGTAGTTTGCATACCGAGCAGGACCACAATGTCCTTTTCAACAAAGTTACGCCACTGATTTCAATGCAAGAATTTTGCATGAATATTTGACAACATTTTTTTCCATTTTCACTCGCAAGTAACTATTATTTTCGCTTTGTAAAGAAATAGAGACAGTCCGCATTTTCAACCGGCTCCACATCTCATATAATTAACACGTTTTTCAACGCTCCGCATTTCCACGCTCCGCACCAGATCCGCAACAAAGATCCGCACTCATCGTGAACAATCACCATAGCAACAGCGGGCAACCACAAAACATCAATGGCGACAACACAAGTTTTGCATGGAAGACGTGAGGGCCAAATAAAAGGTATTTTCTCAATTTGATAGTTTTTTTTTATCAATATTCTTGACATATATTGTAATATTTTATATCTTGAAAATAGTTTAAATAGCATTAATGACGTTTTATAGGAACAATGGGCGACAATCCAGTGTCAATTATTCCCAGTGGAATTGATGCTCGTGAGGTGAAGGACAATTATTGTGATATTTTTAAAGTTCTTTCTTATATCGTATTTTGTAGCGCATCATTGTGAACTAAACACCAGTATATATGTATATTTTGAGGCTATCAAGGATTGTATACCCATTTAATATGATTTTTGCTTGCCTTGTATTTGGTTGTATTTTATAACAATTGAGCAATTTGATACATTTTTAAGCCAGGAGAGTTAATAACACTCGAGAAATGTTAAAATCCCCACGGGGGGCTGGGGTTGACTAGTGCATAACTGGCATGTACAGTACACATCCTTGAAATTTAGAACACTCTCAAAATATAAAATTGTAGCTAAGGCTGCATTCAGTGGTGCCCAATGTTCAAACTGGTTCCCAAAAGTTGAGCACAGTGCTGTTGTTGAGTACTACCTCTAGAAGTAGTGTCCTTTCTTGGGCACTGTGCCCAATTTCATTTGGAAGTGCTGTGTTCAAACTAGGTGCCAAAACAAGTGACGGGCACCAGTGCCTGGCACCCAACCTCGTACCCAGGACTAGCCGCGAGTTGAAGCTATGTCGCTGCCTTCAACTCGCGACTATAGCCTTGGGTACAAGGTTAATTGCCTGGGCACCCAGTCTAAACAAGTGGGCTTGCTAGTCTATCCAGACCTGCCAAGTTCGGAAGATAAGAATGCGTGACCAGAGCCGTTGCGAGAACTTTGCCATCATGGTTGGCGCCGAGCAAAAACTTTTGAAAATTTGAATTCTCTAGACGGTCGGAAATAGCATTTTTAGAGTCTTTCCTACCCAAGATTTCAATGTTTTACTACTGCCTAATAATGAAGATCTCTAAAATTGTAACTACTGATCAATATGACAGTGTTACTTACAGTTTAATGTGACTAGGAAAACTGAGAAAATTGGAAATTTGGAGTCTCCAGATTGTCAGAAAGCGTATTTGGCCATGTACTGCAGGCCACAATGTGTCTGACGCTAATTCTAACGTTGTTAACTCTAATTCTGCGTTTGCAAAAAGCGTTGTCAATGAGTTATTGTACGAAAAGTGGGATAGTGTCATATAATGGTAAAAATGCATAACTTTAAGATCATTTTAGTTATGCGTGCAGGACAGCAGGAACAAAAGCAGAATGCGTAACTTTCACGCGAAATGCGGGAACCTTGGCAGGTCTGTCTATTCGGTCAATTATCAACTTGTCCATGCAGAATTCGATCAGAGTCTCTCAATAGGGGAAATGGAAATATAGCCCCATTGATCAGATTGAGTGTCCAACTCTGTTGCCTCTCTTGAGCTCTACATACTGTACAAGCAAGTTTTCTTTAATTGACAAATTATCTTGGACAAGTTGCTTGTGTTAAAATTGTGTGTATGGTGAACAAGTCTTTTGACAAATCAGATAAGCCTTGATCTCTCCTGACACAAATCAAACTACAGTACCTAGCAGGGGCGTAGGAAGCACCTGGAGTTTGGGGGGGCACCGGCTTGTAGGGGCACATTACTATCGGAAAGGGCACCTAAAAAATTTTTCCCGGAAATGTTGTCGACGGGGGGGGGGAGAAATTTCTCCTGAGGAAAATTTTCCGTCGTATCATACCGAAATTTATGTTTGTGACCTAATTTTTAAAAAAAATTTGTAAATTTCCACACAAAAACGGCACCTATTGTTTTAATTTAGTATTTACAGCGACATTAGCTTCTACAAAAGGGGCACTTTTCCTCACAAAAAAGGGTACTTTTCAACACAAAAAGGGCACTTTTTATCACAAAAAAGGGCACTTTTAGTCCTTTAAAAAAATTTGGGGGGGCACGTGCCCCCTGTGCCCCCCCGCTTCCTACGCCCCTGGTACCTAGTATATTTTGTGTATCACCTCATTGGAAACAGTTTGAAAAACTATGCCTTCAGCATGAATTAAACCAGTCCTGTGATTCTGGTGCAGCTAGTGCTCTCACAACTGACCTACAGAGTCCAGTTAATTTAACCACAAGTCCATGCATGTAGAAATGTAGCACGGCGAACAGCGAATTTCGCCGGCAAACAGTGAATTTCGCCGGTGCTTTAGCGAATTTTGTAGACAATTCGCCGGGTCTTCATCGCATTTCGCCATAACCGAAGAAACAAATAACCCTTGAATAAAGTGAAATTCCCAAACACGCGTTTTGATAATCGCTTTGTGCAAAACTAGAATATTATCCAGAATCCACAATATTTCAGTTTTATGGTGATAAAGAAATCGATGTTCTGAAGAACCATTTGATTTCTTTCAATCTGACTTACAAAATCAAGAGAAACTTCTTTGTGAGTGGCAATCTTTCAAATTCGAACTAATAGAGCTTAGGAAGAAATGGCTTCATTTCAAAGACCAGGTTATCGCAAATAAACTGAAGTTGAAGTATACATAAACAGAATGGGCACTTTGTCAGGTTTTGGGTCAGTTCCAGGAAGAAGTTATTCACCTTGTGGCAATAGCAAAGACAGCTCTTGTTGCACCAGTCTCAAATGCATGGCCAGAACGTTTTTCAAAATACGAAAATAATTATTAAATTTTTTAAACGTGACTTTTAGTCACACAAAGCCTTAAAAAACACCAGATTGATTCAGTTGCATGGTACCATGGTATTTATTTATTTCTGAAATGTCGGGAAATGGCATAATTTGCGAGGTCTAAAATTTCAAATTTTTCCAGGAGGCATGGCCTCGGATCCCCCTAGATTCATGGTCCTCCAGACCGTGCTGGGCCTTTGCCCCAGATTCGCCATGTCAACGAATTTATTCTCCAGAGCCTTTCAACGAAACCTGAAACACTGGTACATGTCAAGCCAAACAAGTTTCTGAAGGCTGTAGATTTATATTCCAATTTGCAATCAAATTTGAAAGTGAAATTTGAAATTGAATTTGAACTTGAAATTGAATTTCCTCCAACTTGTGCAGACTCGTATTGTCAGCAGACATCTTATGCAAAATTAGCAGCACTGTGTAAAAGCTAAAGTCCTTTCAATTTTTCCTCAAACGTCCAATGGATAAACAAGCTTGCATGCTGAAAACTGTATGTACTGGGAGAATATTTGCTGAATATGACCAGCATGTTTAAATTAATTTGAATTTGAAATTTCAATGTTAAATTCAATATCAAATTAAAAAAAATTTAATTCAAATTCAAGTTCAAATTCATTTTCGTCCTCAAAGGATTACAGGCTCAGGGTACAAGATTGCCCCTGTGCAAAATGTTAGGGGGAGGCTCTAGCCCCCTTCCAGTCCCCGCTCCTGGTTCCTACCACAGTGAATTTCAAAGTTACTTTCCTGAAAGGTAAAAGGTAGCTTATCAAGTGAGATACTTGAAAAATACTGATATATTCATATGACCAACTACCTTTTCATGGCAGCTACAGATTTCATCCTTCCCTGTTCTTCCTCACTAGCAGACAAGACACAGTCTAAAAACCAATGGCCTGCACTGTAGAAATCAGGGGTGGATTTATAGGGGGTGCACAAGGGTGCTCACCCCTGTTGGCCTTGATCAATGTCAGGGGGGGGGGGGTGCAAAAAGTTTTTCCTTTTTTCCTTAGGGTTCTAATTTTCAAAATTTCCCGGGGGCATACCCCCTAGGGATCTTGTGCCTTTGTCGCTCGAGTTGTTGGGAAGCCAATGGACCATTTGCATTATAGACTAAATTTTGATCTAGACAAAAATTTCATCACAACTTGAAAGAGCATCACAAAATTAGTAATGTTCCAAAGTTTCGTTGCGAAATGTTGTAAAATGCGGATAATATAGCCTTGCGAAGTTTGCCGTTTTTCAGTCATTTTGTATTACGCACGGGAAATTGACAGCCCAATCGGGTGTTGGGGCATCAATTTCCCGTTTGTAATACAAAATTTGATTGATTTGAATGCTCTCCCACCACCCCCTAGATAATTACTTAACAAAAAAAAAACACTTGGCTCAGTTGGCTGCTAACCCAGCACCCCCCTAGAAAAACCTTGCTGGATCCACCCCTTGTAGAAATTACATGTATATCTCATAGGGCTCTATTATAATGGGAAATGGCTAGTATATACTGTAGTACAGTGACACTGTAGTGTTTAATAAAATGATGTAAAATAAATTAATTTGTACACCTAGTATTAATCGAATAATACGCCATCATGCAATCATATAAATATAGGTGACAGTTCTTCAACCTAATGACTGGAAAAGAATCCAAGACGTATTATCAAAGACCAACTATGAAGCTCAAAGACAGGAGGCAGTCCAAAAAGAAAGAGAAGAATTGCATAATATCTCTACAAATATGGTCAAGAACTGGGGAAATACTATCGAGGTATCAATTTGTTGTCAACTGTAAGGATAATTATATGATGTCACATTTTCAATAATTTGTTACAGCATGAAAATCTATGGCTAAAGATTTACCTATTTTTGACAAATTTTAGTTCTAACTTGTTCTTTATTTTGGAGGCTTCGTGTCAAAATAATATAATAATAATTGCTCACTTGATTTCTACATCATTCTGTGTATTTATCATACTTATATATACTTAGGGACAACGACTGAAGAAACTTGAAGCAAGGAAAATAAAAGAGGATAAGGAAGAGGTAAAATTTGAACAATAAATTTGCAGTTGCAAAAGCCAACCCTCCTGCCGATTTCATCTCCCAGTCTCCACAATATTCATGTGTCCCCCCCCCCCCCGATCTGCCGATTTGAACGAAGAAGAAGCGTTTTTTTATTAGAGAGACAGTAAATTTTATCTTCAACACTCAATGATCGCTAACTGCAGGTTGCTGTTTAATGCTTGTTTCGGATTTATTTTTGATGCTTTGTAACTTTCCAAAGAATCTCACATATAGGTTAGCAATGGCAGGTGTAGTAATCATGTTTTTAAATAATTGTGCAAGTTTTTAATAATATCTAGCTGTCAAAATGCCATGTCTGTGCAGGATAAAACATAATAAGCTAGGTTAGAAGAAATGAACTGAGTAAAATTGCAAATCTCCAGAACTTTCTGGCTGCTTAAAGTGGGAATGTCTGCTATAGTGTGTAATTAAGGCTGAATAAAAAAAGACATACACATCCTTACTTCGGACTAATGACACTTATGTGAAAAGAGTTAGTCAACGCTCTACTGAAAGTCAAACAAACCATATTAATCGCTTTTTCACAAGACACTTTGCAATCTCGTTCCCAGAGTAGCCCGTTCGCAGGTTAGGTGCTGGGCGCACAGCATTTACATTCCATTTTTCTTTGTATCGAATTATTAACTTCCTCTTTTAAAAACTTAAAACTTACGATGATTCGCGTGTCATTTGATCAAGTCTTAATGCGTTCTAGTCATCAGTATATTCAATAAATGCGATTATCATGAATAAATATGACATGCATATTTTGCAACAAATTAATATTGTATAGGAGGAGAAGAAATTGATAGACATTGAAGAAGCAAAGTATCAAGCTCAAAAAAGAAAGGATGCCATTGAAAGAGCGAAGACACTACAGTACTACAAGACAGACAGAGTGAAAGGTTATCATGTGAGTAAAACCAAGAAATCACTTTACTGAAAAAACACATTGGCAATACATCCAGAAAGGTTCTTCAATGCGTTCATTGCCGTTGCAAATGCGTTTATTTCCGTTGCAAATTCGTTCATTTCCGTTGCAAATGCGTCCACAACGGGTTCTAAGTTGCATTTCATTAATTAGTACGTCGCGCAATTTTCAATCTATCCAAACATTAGGTATACGCAATGCAATATGGAATAAATGTTGGGTCAAATATTCATTTATTGTTTGATAGTGACGTGACGTAAGGAATTCTAAGATCAATTCGGAATGTGTTCCAAGATCAATTCGGAACGTATTCTATTGTTGAAACTAGAGTCACTGTGGTCATGTTGTTGCATTTGTAATATTATTACAAATGCAACAACATTACAACTAACATTGAATGCTGTTTTCGAAAACCTTCTCAAACTTAATCCCAAAAAAGCTCATGGTCCGGATGGCATACCGTCGTGGCTCCTAAAAGAAAACGCAGATCTATTAGCTGGTCCGATAGCGGCCATCTTGAACTGTTCATATCGGGAATGTACCCTACCGCCAGTTTGGAAGAAGGCGGACGTAGTTCCAATACCGAAAGAAAAGCCCATCCAGGATATCAATCGTCAGTTACGCCCTATTTCACTTACACCTATTCTATCGAAACTCGCAGAAGAATTTGTTGTAATGATTTATGTGAAGCCAGCAGTGATGGAATTGATCGATAGTAAACAATTTGGGACGGTGCCGGATAGTTCTACGACATATGCTCTTATAAGCATGCTACACACTTGGAATAAGGATACGGATGGTAACGGTTCAACAACTCGAGTTATGACGTTTGACTTCCGTAAAGCATTTGATTTAATAGACCACAATATTTTATCGGAGAAGTTAACAAATTATAACTTACCGAGGTCTGTCATGCTTTGGATCTTAGACTTTCTGACTGACCGAGAACAGAGGGTAAAACTCAGCCAAGATTGCCATTCCGAATGGGGCAAGGTCCCAGCCGGCGTCCCCCAAGGCACAAAGCTCGGCCCATGGTTATTTTGTATTATGATTAATGATCTAAGCGTTAAGGACGTTAATGATCTATGGAAATATGTTGACGACTCATCCTTGTCGGAATCAGTTTGTAGAGATGGTCCAAGTAACTTACAAAAGTACGTAGATGAATTTAACCAGAAATCAAAAGCTAACGGTTTTCAGATAAACGAATCAAAATGCAAAGAGTTGTGTATAAGCTTTGCACCAAGCATACGTGAGTTCCAGCCAATTACTATTAATGGAAAAATTGTCGAACGTGTAACATCGGTAAAATTGCTGGGTCTAACCATCTCAAATAACTTGAAGTGGAATAGTCATATTTCACACGTTTGTAAAAAGGTCGCACCTCGTCTATATTTTTTAAGACAACTAAAACGAGCGAAATTACCAGCTAACGACCTAATCCTTTTCTACTCCACCTGTATTCGACCCGTCATCGAGTATGCGTGCCAAGCATTTCACGACTCATTACCCAAATACCTGTCTGATGATCTTGAAAGACTTCAGAAACGAGCTTTTCGAATAATATTCCCAGATCAACACTACAAACAAGCATTGAGGAACACGAACACCCCATCACTGTACGATAGAAGACAGGAATTAACAACAAAACTTTTTAAGGACGTAGTCAATAATCCTGAGCACAAATTAACGGATTTGTTACCGCCATTAAATAATGACAATAGTCATTTTTGCGTAAAAATAGGAAATTTAACGTGCCACTTTATAAAACGAACAGATTTAGGAACAGTTTTATCACTTATAACTCTAATAAGTTTTTTGAATAACTTAGAAACTGTTTTTTACCGCGAATATGCTGGTTTTTAACCTAATCTAAATTAGCATTAGTGAGTGTTTTAGTAACAAATTATAAGTCTGCGCATACAGTATATATATGTGAATGTGTATTTTTAAGTATTTAGTCTAATCTTATTCGTTTTCTTAAACAAATACATGTAAAATTAGTTTTAATATCCTTGTAAACCTAACATATTTCAGCAGTGGAATTAGTTATATTCTGGAGCTGTAAGTTTTAGTGTCAAATAAACTATCAAACTATCAAACTATCAAACCATTATTCATGAAGATTGTCCGTTCAGTGTCTGCAACTACTCTGCTCTGACTGGGGGCTTCGAGGGTTTTTCTCTGGCTACTTGAATTTCCTCTCTCACGAACAACTAACCCTTCTACCTTAACTGTGCGTCGTGATCAGACATGGCTTGTATGGTCATGGCAGTCAGAGACGCGCAAGTTAACCTTACCTCGGTCACGTTTCAACAGCGTGACGGGCCCCGGCGTGCTACATTTACCTTTAATCAGTGGGAAAACCTAAGCGGGACAATACTAGATTCCCCTTATTACGTTTTCGTAGCGCTTTGCATTGTGGTTATAGTGGTATCACTGATATTCAAGATGGCGTCTTTTTTGTCCTGACACGTGCAAGAACTTTTAAAAAAGCTAGGGTCAGGTGCGCGATAGCCAACAGCAAAATATTCGCGAAAACATTCAATATTTTCATTCGAGGCCGCTATCTTTATCAGTGATACCACTATAACCACAATGGAAAGCGCTACGAAAACGTAATAAGGGGAATCATCAATTGGGAGGGTCACAACAAATTGTACCTATTACTGCCATTATTAAACTTCCAAACGAGGCTAGGGCACTTATCTAGTGGGCTAGGGTGTAGAATGGGGCTAGGTAATCTTGGTCATGGTAATAAATAGTATGTAACTTCGACATTTTTGTATATAGATTAATATTTCGCTGTTTATGAATTAGGGTCAGCGGTTAGGGTAAGAAGTAGGGTAAGCATTCAGAAACAGCCAGACATGAATATTTAACCACATTTTATAGAGTGCGTTACTGCTGACTGAAGTATTGAGAGAACGAGATGCTCAAGTAAAGATGAAACATAAACAGAGAGAAGCAGTGAAAAATAGAGATGATCATTTAATTGAACTACAGAGAAAAGTAAGTAATATGATGTTCACATGTTCCAAGTAATAGTTGTCCTCGTGCGTTTGGATGCACAATACACCCTTTCGATAATTATGTCGTGAATACTTCCTTCCCCTGGGAGCCTCGCTCATATAAATCAATACGAAAGGGCCAAGGATGGATTTATCACGTAATTGCATTTGGCGTTTAACTAAGGTTAGAAATATTGTTACTTCGAAGCAACAATTGATTGCACTACATTATTGTCTCACTCTGACCATGGATAGTTGGCCACCAATGTTGCCTCGAACAATGTTGGATAATGTTGAACCAACATGTTGGCCTCATTACAACTGGCCTTAACGTTGATGAAAAACACCAATTTATACCACACTGTAGTTATCCAGTATCCATTTTGTGTGCTTTCTGTTACTAACATTAAAACATTTCTCCACTCATTCCTTAGTTATTATTATTATGATCATTTTATTTTGGCAGGAATACGAAGAAGGTGTTCTCCAGGACCAAGAGAAAGCATTAAGAAGATATAATGCAAGGCAGACGATTCGCGATTTTCAACAGCTACAGTACGTTTTAGCCGCAATAATTTGTTATTTTCGGGCAGATATTTCATGTTGGTGTTTCAGATGTTTCATGATGGTGGCGTAGCGTTGAAAATTAACCTCGGGGGCCAGGGATCTCAGATGTGGTTAGCGTGCTGCCCCTTGCCACTCAGTTAGGGCTAATACTGTAGGTCCAAATGGGGTATTTACTTAGATTGAGGATACTCAGGATACTCTGAGGATAGCTTCACTGTTCTTGAAAATCCATGTAGACATAACCAGGAGCAGATGCGAAAAATGCAAATAGGCCGCAGGTTCGTTTCCTGCTAGAAGGCCTATACTAGCCTGCTTGGAAATTCTTGGAAATCCCCCCTTGGAAATTCCAGGCGGCAAGCAGGCTAGGCCTATACTTGCATTTTTCGTAGCTGCTCCTGGTCAGGTCAAAAAGTGTAGGGGTGCACCAGAACTAGTCTGTGTTCACAACGGTGTAGTGGACTGGAACACAGGCTACACCGGAACCAATTTTTTAAGTTCCGGCCGGAACCGGATCCGACCGGAACTGGAAAAAGTTCCAGTTCCGGCCGGAACCGGAATTGATTCATTAAGCCATATATAGTCATATGTTACTTTGTCTGCTGCCATACAGTCAGAACTTCCAGTCATCAAGAAGAGAGCTCGCAAATGTTAGAATAAAAAGATTGACAACCGTTAAACGTCGTAATGAAGTGTTAATAGTAAATAGTGTACATTTTCCTTGTGTAGTCCAAATTTCTTCGTGCTGTGAACTTTTGTTAGACACAAAAACGTTTGATATTCTATCTCTCTGAAAACGACAGAGTTCCGATTCCGGTCATGCTTTTTTATTAGTTCCGACCGGAAACGGAACTCTGAAAAATCTGGGTTCCGGCCGGAACCGAGTTCCGGTGCGCCCCTAAAAAGTGTATACTAGAAATTTACATTCGAAAAATATCATCTATTCAAACAACCCATCTACTAAGTAAAGTTTAGTTGCTTCTCTTCATTTTTCCTGTACTTTGAGGGGTTTTCTCCTATACTAGAGAGGCCTTAGACAGCCCTTAGTATATTAGAGCACATGTGAACTCATTATACTGTAAGCTCATTATCATACTCTCCTTTTGACTAAGTTAATTTGCTCACTTGTAAAAGAGATTAATGCAAACTTCTTAATACTTTGGTAGAGTTAAAGAAAGGGATGAACTGAAATCTCATGAAAAAGAACTTGATTATGCTGAAGGTGAAAATATTAAAGAACAAGTGGTAGGTCGTCGGGTTCTTAGACTTCCTGTAAGCCCCGCTCGAAATTCTCAACTCCTGCTTATAAATTAGAGAGAGTATTGCAAGGGAAGGGGCAAGAAGGTAATCCGAAATTAAGCTATGAAATCAAGCCGAAATGTTCCCCGTGTTACTATTTTATACTATATCTATAACGATGTTTTTGATGTTACTCTGAGTGTATATCCACACCGTGCAAATTCATTAATTTTTTAGCGATTCCCAACAAGCCTTTCGCGCTCGTATTCAACTTTTCCGCTTTGCTCGGGGACAACCTTCATTGAAAACCTGTATACAATAGCTAACTTTTCCCCATCTTATTGATTGATTTTAGGCTATGTACAAGGCAGCAAAGCAGACGATAAAAGATCAGCGACGGCAGGTACATACCAGATTTAGCGAATAATGGACCTTTCCCCTTATAACTAAAATTTTGATCTAGACAAGTCTAGACAAAAATTTCATCACAGCTTGAAAAAGCATCACAAAATTAGTAATGATTCCGAAGTTTCGTTGCGAAATGTTGTAAAATGCGGATAATATAGCCCTGCGAAATTTGCAATTTTCAGTCATTTTGTATTACGAGCGGGAAATTGATGCCCCAACACCCGATTGCAAAATTTACTCTTTTTAAATTTTTTTATATTTTCCATAATTTAAGAACTCAAGCAATCCATACATATAAAAAATTACATTTCATGAACAGAATTGTGGAATTGAGAGCAATTTCAAAATTGTCTTACTTTTTTTGATACACCCTGTATTATCCGCATTTTACAACATTTCGCAACGAAACTTTGGAATATTGCTAATTTTGTGATTCGCTTTCAAGCTGTGATGAAATTTTTGGCTTGATCAAAATTTTAGTTATAAGGGGAAAGGTCCATTTACACTACAAAAATCATTACTGATTATATTAAAGTTCCTTAGAAGCACTTCAAACTCACCAAATCGCATAGAATACCTAAAAATTTGTGAAATTCTCTGTCATTAAAAGTCTCCACAACTCGCTGTACAGTAAATACTCAAAACATTGTTTTGGTCCGCAATATGTGGAACTCGAAAACGTCCGTAAAATTTCCTTATTAATTTACTGCAGCGGCATGTCCATCGACAATAACACGATATTACAAGTTTATAATTATAGTAAAATTCCGCAGTTGTGGCATGAATAACGATTACGACCTCCAAATTAAGTTCATGTTTGGTTTTGTAGCAAAAACGATCTTTAATGGATAGTCACAAAAAGACGATGCAAGACAGACAGGTAAGTAGTACATTACACTGTCTGGCGACTTTTGTAACAGTTTTTCTTTTCTTATGCATGGGATTAAGTGGACAAGGTATCGTATACTGTATATGTATTTAGAGTAACGTCTGGATTTAGACAGAGTGTCGGACATGTTTCTGAAAAGTTCTGTGTAGATCAAGTGCTTTCTTGAATCTTGAGATATCCATTCAATCGCATGCAGCTATTTCAATAGACAACTTGCATGTTAGACTAATTTTTGATTTAAGCAAACAAAGGTAAATTCCCGTAAAGAACTTAGCTATTAAAATAAGTAAATTTGCAAAATTTGGTTACGAAATGTTGTGAAATACAGAAATTGTATTACGTGGGGAAATTGTTACCATTTTTGAGCCGAAAATGGTAACAATTTCCGCACGTAATACAAATATACTGAAAATATGCAAACTTCGCAAGGCTATATTTTCTGTACTTTACAACATTTCGCAACCAAATTTTGCAATTTTACTAATTTCATTATGGTCTGTTTAACTGTTGCGTTTGATTCCTTTCTCTTTACTTAGATTGAAATTTAGTCTAACATGCTAAGTTGTCCATTAAGGTTGTCCTCGAGCAAAGCGGAAAAGTCGAATACGAGCGCGAAAGGCTTGCTGGAAATCGCTAAAAAGTTAATGAATTTTTTAGCGACTCCCAGCAAGCCTTTTGCGCTCGTATTCGACTTTTCCGCTTTGCTCGGGGACAACCTTAATTGGCTTTTTCCCAAAAGAGATCACAGTGAATTCTGGGATCGTTTGGAGGGACAAAATATATGGTAACAGGAGTCAAATATGTGAAAAAGTAGAAGTATATCTACTATCAAATATCAACTTTTTAGACGACCAAAAATGAAGTATCTCCTGTTACATTAAACATTTGATTTAAATGTGTGCTGCCATATTTCTTGTCCCTCCAACATGGGTTTGCGCGACTAGACCCAGGACTTTGGGAAATGGCTAATTGAAATAGCTGTATACTTTGAGAGACGAATGTAGAATAGAATTTAGTAAGTGGAAGGGGATCTTTATTCTATAAACTTTTTGTCTCAGTCTTCAAAACGTCTTTTCCCATTCACATTCTCTTATATAACCATCCATCGATCCATTCTCTTATGTAACCTTCTATTATAACCTTTCTTATATCCTTGCGTAAACTATACAAATTAGGCATGTTGTCTAGGCATGTACTATATAAGTTAATAGGTTACTCAGGGTACTATACTGTATAGCATGCAAACTTGTAAATTTGGTTAAACGAAACACTAGCTAATTTTGTCTATTGGAAAAGGAGTAAAGAATATGCAAATATTCAAGTTATGTATATGAATAGTTTATTCACCATTTTTGTCAATTTATTTTTAGATATTTTTGGAGAAAGAACGACAAAAAGATGAAGAGGAAAATGAAGAAATTCGACAATTTGCAAACGCTAAGAAGGTATATATATATTGTTCGTATTGTAGATTATTGACGAAAACAGCAAAATATAAGTTGTAATTTATTTACTGACATTTATCTTAATGTTATCATATAGAAAATGTCCAAGATGAGGAAAGAAAAGGAAATTGAATTGTTCGAGTGAGTATTTTTCACGAGTACAACACGTTGAGCGATGTGGTTTAGTCGGGGACCCGGGGTGAAAAATTTCACACTTTCAATTTAACTTTTTTTCATTTTTGCAAAAGGTGTGGCGATAATATATGACTCAATATTATTACAAAACCAAGAAGGTTGGAATTCACCCATGCTTTACCCAATTATCCATAGCTGAACAGTACCTACAATCTTAGATTTGGGAATCATGGGGACACGAACTGATAGGTTCGGGAAATTTGTTACGGTATATACGCGGAATGAAATTGAGAACACTAATTTTAACATCACTGTCTGGTATAGTAAACTTAACTCTAATGAATAAATACGTATATTTTAATATGCAGTATTACTGAATGTATAACCTGGAATTCAGTTTTTATTCAGTTTTTAAAACTTGTTGCAGTATAAAAACTGAATTCCAGGTTATACATTCAGTAATACTGCATATTAGAATATACGTATTTATACATTAGAGTTAAGTTTACTATACCAGACAGAGAGAATAATACATGGGTGCGCGGGAATACCAGATTTATTTCGAGTGTTGAACATGATATCTCACGAGTGAGCGCAGCGAACGAGTGAGATATCATGTTCAACACGAGAAATAAATCTGGTATTTCCAAGCACCCATGTATTTTTCTGTTTATTATATAAACAAAATTCAGTGAAAAACAATAAATCGTCCGTGGCAATGCGTTTTACAACAAATGATATTTTCACACGTAAAAATATCGTATTTTTTACGTGTGTTTAAATACGATTTTTCTCAGTGGCCAAAAACTCTATATAACACTTATGTTTATATAATAAAGTGTTAAAACTAGTGTTCTCAATTTCAGTCCGCGTATACCGTAACAAATTTTCCGAATCTATCAGTTCGCGTCCTTATATTTTCCCCAAGATTCCTAGATTTAAGATTGTACATGCAGTACTGTCCAGCTATGGATAATTGGGTAAAGTGGGTGAATTCTAACCTTCTCGGCTTTGGCGGTGCAATCTGCTTTGACGGCAATGATAACTATAAATCGTTCAATAAACCGGGTAACTATACACTGGAAAAATTTTTGAAAATCCATAGAATGGAAATCGTATGGACCTATATTGGAAATAGAATGGATTTTTGATTATCCATAATATTTGTATATTTCCATATATACTATGGATATTGTATCGAAATAGTATGGATAATGGATATACTATGGATTTAGTGGTGCAATTTGAAATGTATGTATGTATTTCACTTTTTTTCCCTACATGCAGTGACTAACTTTCTGGTAAACCGCTTCAGCAATATGTATTGGCGCCAATGGGTAATCACACATCAGTGCTCCTTGCAGAACACTTCAAG